GGACAGATACTCATGAGGTATTGTAGGAACACAGAGAAGGCATACCTAGCCTAGCTTAGAAAAGATAATGGCAGGATATGAAATGAGATTATAGGTCACAAATATAAGTAGAAATAACTCATTTTTGTAAACTCTACAGCCTTACCAATTTTATAGATTATAGTCCTGTAAAATTAATCAATCACCTTGAAGAGTAAGCTTGTTTTTAAAGAATGGCTAATAGTTACTCAGTTGAAGAATAGGAGGAAAGGAATGTCAAGAGGGAAGAGAGAGTATAAATAGAGTTATGTGAAAAAGAGACATTTGGCAAAGTATATAAGAATCAATGAATTCTTGGGTATTGCAGTGTAAAGTTTGAGTTAGAGAGTGGTAAGAGAGTGGTCAGGAGAAGTTGTCAAGAGGCAGATTATGAAACACCATGTCTAAAAGCCTACATTATACCATTTTAAGTAGTGGAAACCAATGAAGGATTTTTAACAGAGGCATCACTTGATCATGTTTTAACTAAAAGAACAACAACTCACACTTAGATAGCTCTTGCTGTGCCCGGCATAGCCTCAGTGGCTTTATTTACATAGTAACACATTTAATTCTATGATATCTTTATGACTTAGGTACTATTCTTATCTCCATTTCGTAGAAGTGAAAAATGAGGCATGAAAGTTAAGTAGCCTGTCCAGCATCATACAGCTAATAAATAATAGAGCAAGGATTTGAAAATTTATTTAGCCAGTTCACTTGAAAGATTATGCAACAAGTTTGGATTACAAGAGATTAGATGGGGAATTATTGTGATGATCTAGTTATGAGATGATAAGATTCTAAACAAAGGCAGTGGAGGTAAAGATAGAAAGGAAAGAAGAAGAGATAAGGGAAAATATTTGAAAAATCTGCATAAGTTTAAATAGGCAGGAGTTTGAGCAGGAGCTTGAAAAGGATGGTAAAAAGGAAGGTAGAGTCATAAGTACTTTAAATTTATCTGGATAGAGAGATCTAGCAGGTAGATGGATATATATATATATATATATATATATATATATATATATACACACACACACACACACACACACACACACACACATACATRTATATACATATACATATTAGCACCAGGAATTGACCACACTGAGCCACATCTCCAGCCCTTTATATTTCTTATTTGAGATAGGGTCTCACAGAGTTTCTTAGGACCTGGCTAAGTTGCTGAGACAGTCTTTGAACTCATGTATCCTCCTGCCTCAGTCTCCTGAACCACTAGGATTACATGTCTGCACCACCATGCCCAGCTGGATATTTGGATTTGAAGCTTAAAAGAAATCTTGGCTGAAAACAGAGTTTTATACAAATGTGTAGGTATAAAAGGGAAGTGGATTGATGATGGAGTACTAGAAAATATCAACATTTTTAAGAGTGAACAAACATCAGGAATCACTGAAGGAGGCATAGAATATGGCATCGTGGAAACTAAGGAGATATAACCTATCAACAAGGATGACATAATCATGAGTATCAAATGAAGGAAAGAAGCCCATTAACAGAAGGATCTTCATTTGTTGGATGATTGGTAGCCTTAGTGAAAGGAGTGTTATACAAATATTGGGGATAGGAGTCAGACTGTATAGGTTGAAGAGAAAACGTAAAATGATAAAGTAGTGAAACTGAAGATAGACAAGTCATTCAAGAAGTCTGATTGTTTTAAAGAACAGAGAAGAAGGGAGATAACAGGTAGGGGCTATAGAAGCATAGAAAATTTCCTCTTTGAGTTTATAGGTTGAAATATAGTAGAACTTTTTCATTGATTGAAAAAGAGGAAAGGGATTCTGATAGAGTAAGGTCCTGGAGGAGGTTAGAATGGATGGCACCAAACATAAATCAGGGAAAATTAAGTGGAATGAAAGCACATCACTGACCAGAAGAAAGTAAGGGGGAGCCCTTAATCTTTTTTGATTTAATTTTTTGACTGACACAAAATAATTTTATATATTGAAGTTTCTTAATGGTTTATAATTATTGCTCACTTGTATATGAAAGCAGTGGTGGAGAGAGACACAGGATTGTTTTCCTGTGAAACCAGCTTCTTAATAAGGCTGTCCAACAACTTTGCTCTGATATGATCTTGGTTAGCTAATAAACATCTGCACAGAGAGGGAGAGTGGAAAAATGTGAATTTTTTTCCAAAGTAGGATAAATAAATACATTAAAATATTTTTATCTTAAGAAGAAACACCAAAATTGAAATATTTCACAAGGAAATTGGAAATAGAGTCAATCAAGTCCTCTGTTTTATGGGAATTGGTTTTGCTTAAGTACAGTAAAATTACCTCAAGGTTACCTTAATAATGGGTTTTAATGGTTTGCAAGGTGAGGTGCAAAGAAAACCATCAAGTATCTTTCTTTTTTTAAACTCTTTAAGTGTTGACATCCCACATTAAGACTCCACTTTAATAAAAAGAATCAAAATGTAAGCTTTGGTTGGCTCTTGGAAAAACACATTAGGACAGATATAAAAAAATATTTGGAAGTCAGACAAACCTGGATTCTATGGTTCTCTCACTTCTTTGTTTTATGTGACTTTGATCAAGTTACTTAAACCCTCTAGACCTTAGCTTTTTCATCTTTAAAATGAAGGTAGTACCTATACCTCATAGAGAAGTATAAAACATTAAAAGAAATCATGGGACAGTATAAAATATTTTTAAAAAGAAAAAAATCATGAGTCATTCTTACATCCCAGGAATAAATTCTACTTCAACATGATGTTTGATCCTTGATATATAATGTTATATTGAATTTGCTAGAATTTCATTGACAATTTTTGCATCTATTGTTTTTTTTTTTTTTTTTTGAGAGAGAGAGTTTTTAATATTTATTTTTTAGTTCTCGGCAGACACAACATCTTTGTTGGTATGTGGTGCTGAGGATCAAACCCGGGCCGCACGTATGCCAGGCGAGCGCGCTACCGCTTGAGCCACATCCCCAGCCCAGCATCTATTGTTTATCAGAGATATTAGACTGTAATTTTCTTGTCAGGTGTGATATTTGCAGGACTCGGAATTAAAAATTGCAAAGTGGCAGTTAAGCTTTTTGTTTACATGGTGTTTAAAAAAAACACTAAACAAACAAGCATTAAAAATTTGAGTGATCTCACCTAAAAGTCTGACTTTGGGCTCATGGAAAATAAAAAGGTATGACTATGCTATCTAATGGCAATGATAGGATGGAGCTGATTATTAGCTGTTCTCTTCCTATAAAGACCCATTTAGAAGACTTCTCTGTACCCTGAAGGCATTTGAATTCCTGACATTTGTGGGTATTCTCATTAGTCATAAATCTTGGAAACAGAGGGCTGGGGCTTTGGCTCAGTGGTGGAGTGCTTGCCTAGCACATGTGAAGCACTGGGTTCCATCCTCAGCAGTACCACATAAAAATAAATTAATTAAATAAAGTATTCTGTCCATCTACAAAAAATTTTGGAAGCAATGATGATTTTAACCAGCTAATATATCAGAAACAAACTGCATGCCTGGAATTTTAGATACTTATCAAAGGTATAAAAGATTACATAGCTTTCATTGAAGTAAAAGCTCCTTCAAAATAACTCTCTTTAGGTTTTATATCAGCTTAACTTTCAATTTAGCTTTAGTTTAACTTTACAAATCACTAAGTCAAAGTTAATATTCACTATCTTTTCACCAATATTTCCAACTATTTTAATGAGAGACAGAGGGAGAGGGAGAAGGAGAAGGAGAGGGAGGGGGAGAGAGAGAGAGANACAGAGGGAGAGGGAGAAGGAGAAGGAGAGGGAGGGGGAGAGAGAGAGAGAGAGAGAGAGAGAGAGAGAGAGAGAGAGAGAGAGAGAGAGAGAGAATGCAAGGGGGTAGGAGAGACAAAGAGTGGGAGAAACTATTTGAGTTGTTCAGTTAATGTTTTATGCTTTCCTCATGAAGTGACTCAGTATGTCAATGAAGTTTTACCTACCTCAAGCAAAGCTCTATGCTAGTGCTGTGTGGTTAATCATTTTAAAGACATAAAGGAGGATTCAGATGAGCAGAGAGAAAGTTCCAGTTATTCTACTTTCAGATGTGAAGAGTTATTTGAGGGTTGCAGGATGACTAATATTATTTTGACCAGTACTTCTGCTTATTTGAAGGGAGAACACTGATATTTCAGGTTTTCTTGCATTCTTCACATTTCACATAATGAAACTTAATTTTAAGATTCCCATTTCATTTATAGTACATTAACTGAGAGGAATCCTATCTTTTCTCTTCTAAAACCTGTCTCAGGTGTTTTCCTTTGATACATATATTTTTTAAAAAATATTTTATTAGTTGTTGATGGGCTTTTATTTATTTATCTACAGTGCTGAGAATCGAACCCAGTGCCTCACACATGCTAGGCAAGTGCTCTACCACTAAACCACAACCCCAGTCCCAATACATACATTTTTTGAGCAGGAAAATTTCTTCTATTTGCTTAAGATAAGAAGAGTAAGATCAAATCTGAGTAGAGATATCAATTTATGTATAGAAAACAATTAAATAGAAGGGAGAACTTTTGTCCTTGTTATCCTTGTCACCATAAGTAAGGTGTAATTTCACATGGCAGCATGACCTATTGTAAATATCAATAAAAATAAATAAATAAAGGAGTGACAGGAAGATCAGCAGAATATAGGAAAGAGAAAAGTGGAGGGAGAAAGGGAGGAAAGGGAAGTGGGAATGGATATTGAAATCAAATTCCTTATATGTATAATTATGTCAAAAAGAACACAAATAATATGTATAAATAAAATGCTCTAATAAAAAAGTAAAAACAAAAATAGGTCTAACCATGGGAAATTTAACAACACATTTGTGTGCTAAAATATTGAGTTTCTTGGACCAAACCATATTTTAAGTGACTTTAAGATGTTGTTTTTCATAGACTCATATCATTTTCCTTCTCTACTTCACTACAGGAATCTCATTCAATTTAGGGTTTTTACAAATCGAGACCATATGAAAGATCTCCGAAGGTACCTGACATTCAAATATATCCAGTATCTAGTCCTACCTTCTCCAAACATTATCGTCACTCTGCTGGGATTGTTTGCCAGTGTGTATGTCACACTAATATTAACATTACCTTTTGTATCAAGAAAATCTACTGCAGTATTTATTAGTAACATAGCTCAGGCAGACATCTTCGTGGGTTGTAGCATCTTCTCTGCCATGATTCAAGATGTGATAAAGAGTGAAATATTATCATATTCTGTTCAATCAACCTTAAGGCAGAATTTCCAGATTGCAAATGTACATATCAGTTCTCTTTTACTCAGCTGCGTTAGCCTTGAAGCCTTTCTGATCACTTTTCTTCCAGTAGAGACACGCCACATAAGAACTGTGAGATGTGCCAAGGTGGCTTCTAAGGTCATCTGGATTGCCATAATTATTGAGTGCTTCCTTTATCAAGTGGAGTGCTTCAAACACCTTAGCATCTCTTATTTTGACACTCACAGGCATGTTTTGCTGTTGCTAAATTACTGTTATGGAGCCACAAAACTGCTGAAGTCAGTTGTTTATCCAATTGGACTACTTTTAAGGATCTTCAATGTGTACCTCTTTTATAAAATGTATTTCCGTGTTTTACCTTAACAATACCTGTGATGGTTAATTATGTTAATTATGGCTAGGTATAGTGCCCATTTTTTTGTTCAAACATTAATCAAGATGTTCTTGAGAAGATATTGTGTAAATGTGATTAACATTTATGGTTTTAATAAAGGAGAGTATCTAAAACAGTGTGAGTGGAACTCATTCAATTAGTTAAAGGTCTTAAGAGGAAAAAAAACCTGGGATTTCCTAGGAATTATGCCCCATCAGTATCCTGCTTGAATTTCCAGGCTGCTGGCCTACTCTAAAGATTTCAGACTCAAGACTACAGCATCAGTTTTGCCTGAGATTCTAGCCTCATGGCCTCCCCTACAGATTTTGGATTTGGGGGCTCTGAAAATCATGTGAAATAATTACTTAAAATTTTAAAATAAAAATTAAATAAATGAAGAAAACTTCATATCCTATTGGTCCTTGTATTTCTTTCTTTCCTCCTCCTCCTCCTCCTCCTCCTCCTCCTCCTCCTCCTCCTCCTCCTCCTTCTTCTTCTTCTTCTTCTTCTTCTTCTTTTTTATATTTTATTTAGAGACAGGGCCTCATTAAGTTGCTTAGGGCCTCTTTAAGTTGCTGAGGTTGGCTTTAAACCTGTAATCCTCCTGCCTCAGCCTCCTGAGTCGCTGGGATTAGAGGTATGTGCCATTGTGTTCAGCTCTTGCTTGTTTGTTTTTTTTAAGAACCCCCAACTAAATCAGGTGATGACCCCAATTGCAGCTGCTATACCAGATGTAGTTTCATTGCTTGAGCAAATTATCACATTTCCTGGTACTGTTATGCAATACTTTTTTCTCCATATCTATTTACTAACACTACCAGAACAGTTTGCTTTCTCTTGGCAAGGCCAGCAATATACTTTTACTACCTTACCTTCCTATGCCATAATTTAGTTTGCAGGGTATTGATTGTCTTTCCCTTCCACAACACATCACAATTCACTTTACACATCACAATTTTGCATTACATTGATAGAATTATGCTCATTGGACTCAGTGAGCCAGAAGCGACATCCACAATAGACTCATTAGTAAGATATTTTAATGTTCAGAGGTTATGGAATATTTTTGATTAAAATTCAGGTGCCATCCACCTCAGTTAAATTTCTAGGGGTCCTGTAGTATGGTGAATGTTAACACACCTTTTATTAGGTAAACGATTAGTTGTTGCATCTAGCCTCTCCTACAATCAAAAAAGAGGCATGATGCTAGTGGGCTTCTTTGGACTTTGGAGAAAATTTATTTCTCATTTGTATGTGGTACTAGAAATATTTACTGAGCAAGTTGAGAGCCTGCTAGTTTGAATGAGACCCAGAGCAAGAAAAGGTTCTGCAACCAGTCCAGGTTTCTATACAAGCTGCTCTGCCACTTGGTTCTCATGATCAGATAGATCCAATGATGTTTGAAGTGTGAGTGGCAGATATCGATGCTGTTTGAATCCTTTGGCAGGCCTAAATAGGTGAATCATAATATAGACCATTAGGAGTTTAGAGTAAAGCACTGCTATCTTTGGTAGATAACTACTTTGAGAAAAAACTTGTGGTTTGCTACTGGGCCTTGGTAGAGAGTGAATGCTTAAACATGGGCCACTAGGTTACATGCAATCTGGGCTTTTCATCCTGAGCTGACTGTTGTCCAATGCATCAAGTCAGATCACTGAGTGTTCCCAATCACATTCCATAATCAAATGGCTACAGTATATATAAAATTAGCTTTGAGCCAGTCCTGAAAGCATAAGTTAGTTATATGAAGAGGTGGCCCAAATGTCCATTGACCTCAATCCTTCTTGCTATGGTTCAGATATGATTTGACTATGTCTCCCAAAGAATAATATGCTGGAAGCCTGATCTCCAATGTAGTATTTTCTATAGGTAGTGGAATCTCTAATAGGTGGGATTTAGTGCAAGGTAATGATATCATGGGAGCCTTATCCTCTGAAAGAATCACTGCTGGTCTCATGGAGTGAGATAGTTATCATGGGAGTGGGTATTATAAAGCAAGGTCACTGTATATGCTCAGTCTATTCTGCACATGGCTGTTTCCACTTCCATTTCTTTCCCATGTTGTGAAGGCCCTTGACAGAGGCTGTTATAGTTTAGATATGAATTGTTCCCCCAAAACTCATAATGTGAGACAATGCAAGATTTAGTTAAAGGTGAAATGATCACTGGGCGTGGTGGTGCATGCCTGTAATCCCAGTGGCTTGGGAGGCTGAGGCACGAGGATTGTGAGTTCCAGCTTCAGCAAAAAGCAAGGCACTAAGTAACTCAGTGAGACCCTGTGTCTAAGTAAAATACAGAATAGGGCTGGAGTGTCAAAAAAAAGAGGTGAAATTATTTGATTATGTGAACCCTGATGAGTTCATTAATCCTCTGATAGTGATTAAGTGGGTGGTAACCATAGGCAGGTAGGATGTAACTGGAGGATGTGGGTCAGTAGGGGCATGCCTTTGGGGTATATATTTTGTCTTTGTTGAGCTGAGCACTTGCACCGTGCCCCCCTCCTGGTGCTATTTTCCCAGATGCTTTCCTCTGTAACACTTCTGCCATATGCTTTGCCTCACCTCAGGCCCCAGTGAACGGAGTTGGCCATCTATGGACTGAGACCACTGAAACTGTGAGCCCCAAATAAACTTTTCTACCTTAAAATTGTTCTTGTCAGTTCTTTTTTCACAGTGGCAAAAATGTTGACTAATACAGAGACTAAAAATATGGGACCATCTCTCTTGTTCTTTCAGTCTGTCCCCAAAATTGTGATCCACATAAATCTCTTTTCTTTATAGGTTATCCAACCTTAGATTTACCTATAGTAACAAAAAACAGAATCAGATAATGCTACACTATCTTTTTTTTTTTTGTCATACCTATGACCTCATGGGGGACTTCCTTTTGATTAATTGACAAAAGAGGGGAAGTCCAGTTTACAGATGGTTCTGCATAAAATACATGTACTATTGAAAGTGGACAGGTACAACATGGTAGCCTATATCTGGGATGTCATTGAAGGACAATGGTGAAGGGAAATCCTCCCAGTGGACATAAGTTTAAGCAATGTAGCTGGTTTTTCACATTGCCTAGAAGGAAAAATGGACAGATATATGATTATAGACTGATTCATGGACTATGACTAATGGATGGTGAAGAGTTTGGAAAGGGCATGTTGAAAAATTGGTAACAACGGCATCTGGAGAAGAGGTATTTATATTGACCTCTCAATTGATGAAAAGCTTAAATATATTGTTGTCCCATATGAGAGTTTACTAAAGGATGGCCTTATTAGAAGCATATTTTAATATTCTGAGGAATAGAATGACTCACTGTGGATACAAGTCAGCTTCTTTCCCCAGTCACCTCTGTCCTTACCCAATGGGCTTGTGAAAAACATGGTCATGGTGATAGGGATAGAGGCTATTTATGGGCTCAGCAACATGAACTTCGGTTAACCAAGGCTAACCTTATTAGAAAAATATTTTAAGATTCTGAGGAATAGAATGACTCACTGTGGATACAAGTCAGCTTCTTTCCCAGTCACCTCTGTCCTTACCCAATGCGCTTATGAAAAACATGGTGATAGTGATAGGGATAGAGGTTATTCAGGGACTCAGCAATATGAACTTCCATTAGCCAAGGCTGACATACCTTTAGACCATGTTGAGTGTCTAATCTGCCAGCAAAAGAGACTAACACTGAGTCCCTAATATGATATCATCATCTGGAGTAGTCAGTTACCTACCTGGTGGAAAGGTTACATTGGATCACTTCTATCATGGAATGAGCAGGGTTTTGTTCCTACTAGAATAAACAATTACTCTTGATATGTACTTGTCTGCCTGCATGCAATACTTCTGCCAAAACTACCATTCATGACCTAGAGAATGTTATATATGTCAGAACAGCATTGCACACAGCATTACTACTGCTCAAGGAATCAGTGCACAGCAAATGAAGGATGGCAATGGGCCCATGCTCATAAAACTCAGTGGTCTTAATATTTCCCCTACCTCCTGAAGCAGATGGCTTGATTGAGTTGTGGAATGGCCTTTTGGCAACTCACTTATTGTGGAAATATCTTGAAGGATGGAGCAATTTTCTCTGGAATGCTATTTATTCTAAAAATCACCATCTAATATATGGCACTATTTCTCCCATAGCTGAGATTCAAAAGGAATCAAGAGTGACCCAATAGTACATTTTTTTTGTTTGTTTTCTATTCTTGCAACCTTTTTTCTGTTGGCCTAGAAAGCATAGTTTCAAGGAAAAGAGTGAATCAAAACAGTGGTTCCATAAATTTGAAAGTTAGATTGCCACGTGGTTACGTGGGCTCCTTATGCCTTTGAGTCAGCAGGTAAAATCATATCTATGGCATGAGAAGTACTTTTCAGACATTAATGGTATCATCTCCTATATATATGTAATTAGGATATATGAAAAAATAATAAACACTATATGACAAGTGACCCACAACCTGGTAAATATTTATAAAAGAAAAAGTACATTTTGTACTGAGTTGGTTAGCAATGACCTGACTATTTATGTGGGACTTCAGCTGTGTCATTGATATTAACCTTATTAACAACTCACAATTATTAACAACTCACAAACTCTGAATTACAGATTAATGGGCAAGCATGATTTAGTTGAGACATGAGTGTGTGAACACAATGGGTTTTTTTTTGTTGTTGTTGTTTGTTTGTTTGTTTTACATCTCTCTTCTATGGCTCAGGGAAATTTGGCTTTCCCTAATACCAATTGTAATTACTTTAGTGACTGAATCTTGAAATGCTTTAAGAGATACAGGCATATGTCTTTCTGAATGCACTCTTTTTGCCAATTATTTGTATGTACTATTGTGAATCATAGTTGGAAAATGAGTCCATGTTTTGGGTCAAATGACCCAATGATTAAAGGATTGGACCAAGTTCTTGAACAGAAATATCTCTGTTAATTGACATCTTTGGGCAAGTAGCTTTGAAATAAAGCACAAGCACTTTTT